TACGAAAATAGGTCGAAAAAAAATATTCCCTTGAATTTGACAGTTGTAGGTAATTGATCCTACATTTCATTGCAGTAAAACATTTCTGGGTCATAAACATATATCTTGGGTATTTCAAAGCACCATTATTTTTTTATTTGGGGTTTCTATAGAATATTTTGGAAACTTGAGGTTACATGGTTACTAAAGCTTGTACACAGGTTAAAAAAGGGGGAAAATTTGATTGGTTAACTTCCAGTGATGGTTATTTTCTTATATGCAATGAAATGTTATGTGAAATTTTTTCTATAGTACTGGACAGGATCAAACTTTACTCATGCCAAGTATTTCTTTATTTGAAACAAAGATAAATTCTGCACAATTTTTTGAAAAGTGCAAATTTAACAAAGACTAATAGGGGAAAATCAATGGTGGTATTACACCTATTATTTAATATGGGAAGCTGTACATGCACCTTTGACCTTGTGAGCACTCTCATGTGTTAAAATTTCTTGCTATTTAAGTGAAATATTACTAATAATGAAATATTCTGAGTGGATTGAGTCTCCAAAACACATTTTATGAGAAAATTTCCTTGAAATAGGACTTAACCATGAATATTAGTTGACAGAATAAGCCATACTTAGAGTTTTGGGGAGCTTTTTCTCCTTTTTTTTATATTCTGCTATACTAGAAACTTTTTCCTAAGAAATACTTTAATAAATATATAGTTTTAAGTAAATGAAATTATTTTTAAAGCAGTAACAACAAATTATTCACCAAAAGAGAAGTTTTTTATGTCCCTCTCTGGAATGCGGCGTAAATTTAAGTTTTACGTAAGGACTTATGGAAACCTCCTTGGAGACAGTAAACTTTTATACGGATAGTTCATTCAGCTTGAATACTTCAATTAATCATTTATTATAACATTTCTATCATAAATGAGTGAAAGTTACCCCAAAATTTTTATTTATTGGCCTATAAAGTAGACATTTTGAGGAAATGAGAGGTATAAATGGACCAAAAGAGACCTTATAAAGAAGACAAAGAGGTCCATTAGTAGTATTCATCATCCTAAAGTCATCTTTTGTATCATATTCAACTGTTTGTAGGCAGATGAGATAAATATTTGATCATTTATTGGTCCACACTATATTCTATCATGATGCGGCTTGGTTTGGATTTTTCGAAGAAATTTAGCTCGAATCGCTGTAGATGTCGTCTTACATTATACTAGATTTTTCTCAAACTATTGAACTGATTATGACAAAACTTGACAGGAATGCTTGAAAGAACCAGTATTACAAAGGAAAAAAGTCACATTCAGTTTATTTAACAAAAAAGTCTTCTTTAGGTGTAATACCACCAAATCATAGTACGTCACATCCGGTTGCATACGAAAATAGGTCGAAAAAAAATATTCCCTTGAATTTGACAGTTGTAGGTAATTGATCCTACATTTCATTGCAGTAAAACATTTCTGGGTCATAAACATATATCTTGGGTATTTCAAAGCACCATTATTTTTTTATTTGGGGTTTCTATAGAATATTTTGGAAACTTGAGGTTACATGGTTACTAAAGCTTGTACACAGGTTAAAAAAGGGGGAAAATTTGATTGGTTAACTTCCAGTGATGTTTATTTTCTTATATGTAATGAAATGTTATGTGAAATTTTTTCTATAGTACTGGACAGAATCAAACTTTACTCATGCCAAGTATTTCTTTATTTGAAACAAAGATAAATTCTGCACAATTTTTTGAAAAGTGCAAATTTAACAAAGACTAATAGGGGAAAATCAATGGTGGTATTACACCACAACATCGTCGAAGACCTTGAGGTCATAACTTTTCTAAAGAAAGGACTGAAATATCGTCCTCCATCTAAAATAGATTGGAAACAGTTTCGTCAGGTCATTAAAGACGTCAGTCTACTGTAAACATTGGTGTAAACGTGCAAAAATCTGATAAAAAATCTCTAGACAGTTATTTGAATAAATTTATGAATACTGTTAATATTCGTATATCTCGTTTTGAAAACAATTCTGAAATTAGTAATAGGGTCCATGATATTCCCATTTCTAGAATAAAAAATAAACTCCAAGAACTCGCAAAGCGGTTTCTGTTCGTACCGGCAAATAAAGCTGCAAATAATGTAGTGGTGGTGTGACGCATATACTACACGGAAGTTCTCCAAAACGAAAGTACAAATTCATCTACATTTAGGTCCGTACGCTCCACAGAGAGTCAAATTGTAAACAAGCATATCACTGCCACTACCCAGCTTAAAGCCTCTTCCAAACATTTGAAAGTCCCTACTATGTACTGGTTACCTAAATTGCACAAAAAACCATTTAAATTCCGTTTCATCTCCGCATCTAGTAAGTGTTCTACTATCAATCTATCAGTGCTTCTAACTACCTCCCTTAATACTATCAAAGAACTTGTTATTAACTTTTGTAATAAAGCTTATGAAAATAATGGTATTAATTATTTTTTGAGTGTTAAAAATTCTTTAGAGGTTTTAGATAAAATACATGCTTTTGATGGTCCTTTTAATTCTGTTGACAGTTATGATTTTTCTACTCTCTATACTACACTTCCACACAATCTTATCAAGAAAAAGTCTTTTGAAAAATCTCATTACAAATTTATTTGCTGTAACTCGTTTAAAGCCTTTTTCTGTAACGAAAAAGGAAAGTATGCTAGATACACTTACTGGAAATGCGAAGATATAATTGAAGCTTTAAATTTTTCCTGGACAACATATATGTACGTTTCGGCGATAAAGTGTACCGACAAGTAGTAGGTATTCCTATGGGCACTAACTGCGCCCCTTTAATAGCAGATTTACTCCAGTATTGCTATGAATCTCAGTTTATGACCAAACTCAGTAAAGACACGTCATTGTTACATTTGGTTGATATATTCAACAATGCCTTCCGTTATCTAGATGATATTTTTTCGTTAAATAATCCAGAGTTCTCTAAATATACTACCGACATTTACCCAAAAGAACTTACTTTAGCTAAATCTAACATAAACAGCAGTAGTTGTCCTTTTCTAGATTTGGACATTTCAATCTCTAAAGGAAAACTCCATACTAAAATTTACGACAAAAGAGACGACTTTTCACTCCCTATTGTTAATTTTCCCTTTTTAGATGGCGATGGTCCTTTGGCTCTATCATACGGTGTTTATATATCCCAACTCGTTCGTTATGCCCGTGTGTGTAGTGATGTCATAGATTTTAACGAACGTAATCAAAGCATCACTGGTAAATTATTAAGTCAGGGATTTTGTTTACATAATTTACGTAAAACTTTTACTATCATAGATACAAAGATTTGATTAGTAAATATGGCTGTACCTGTAGAAAACTGATTAAAAACGGTATTTCACATCCTAAATTTCACGGTAATATTGTACTTAAAGCGCGGAAATCACTATTTGTTCCGTGTAAACTCATCGAACCTTTAAACTAACTTATTAGTAAAGGCTATCTTACCAATGTTGTAATTAGATCTTTGAATATAGTTTACATTGGCACTAATATCGATTTTGTCATCAGCAAATTAAAACATAACTAAATTTGTATTCTTTTCAAACGGGATGTATAATGACACACCCACGTTCATTTTGATCTATAAAGAGGTTAACTCCTAACTATCCTACTGCCTGTCGATACATTTATTTTTGGCATTGCACAAGTCATGTCTTCTTTGACTGTCCATGACGTTGAAAAAAGAAATCCCTGGGATGTGTTTTAGTTGATTTTAGTCTCTGATGCATGATTTTTTATTATTAATTGTTTTTGGCTTTTAACTAGCTGTCGGTAACTGCGAGTACTCTCAAATCGTACTTTCTTGTTTATTTGACCTGTTGATACTAATTGTAATACTTTTTTGATATTTGTGTTAATCAGGGTTATATCTGGTCTATATACCAGCTTTGATAAGTGTTAGTTATTACTATGAATTTTCACTTCTTCGTACTATGAACATGAAAATTATTTATTTTGTAAAAATATTTCCTTTCTCTATTTGAACTGCACACGTATACCTAACAACAAAATTATTTTCATTTACCTGTGTTTAAAGTAATTGCAAATGGCTGATATTTTTGTTCAAGCATATTGTTTTTCTTAAATTGTTTAACATTTCACAGCGGTATAACATGTTACTTTAAATATTCTTCCCTTAGTTTATTTATTTTGTATTTTTATTGTATCATAGATCAAATATATTTGTTCAGTGTATGTTCACTGGCGTTAATATGTCTTTTGATTGAGTTAAGCCATTTCAATTGATATTTTATAGTGTGTCTTTCTATGTTGTGATGTTACACTATTGTTCCAGATAAGGGTGAAGGTTGGTACCTATTAAAACGTTTAAACCCGCTGCATTATACACCTGTCCTAAGTCAGGAATCTGATGTTAAGTAGTTGTCGTTTGTTGATGTGGTTCATAAGTGTTTCTCGTTTCTCCTTTTTTATATAGATTAGACCGTTGGTTTTCCCGTTTGAATGGTTTTACACTAGTAATTTATGGGGCCCTTTATAGCTTGCTCTTCGGTGTGAGCCAAGGCTTCGTGTTGAAGATCGTACTTTGACCTATGATGGTTTACTTTTATAAATCTTGACTTGGATGGAGAGTTGTCTTATTGGCACTCATACTACATCTCCTTATATCTAATCAATGCATATTTTATGAAGAAACCCCAAAACCCATTATTTTTTCACCTATTGAAAGATGTTTCACTGCCATGCATGAATATAGCTTTAATTTACTGGTCCCAAAAACCTTTTCTGGTAAACAAATAATTAGATATCGTTGAAAAGTGAATAGGACATTCTGAGTAGTAAAAGTTTTATTTTACTGGTGTCACAAGTTTTATTTACTGATTTTGAATGTTGTACTGATGTCTTTGATAAACCCGGAAAGAGTTGGTGCAATGTGTACAAACAGAAACATAAATAATTTATATGTCTCTAGTACACATCAGTCCTTTAAGTTGAACAGGTGGCCATTAAGTTTGTTTAGGGTGTTATATCTGTGTATAATTGAAAGTGATAAAGGGTCAGGTGTAAATGATAAAATGGTTAGTTGATATGTTAATACTATTCATCGGTTTTAGTTTGTACCAATTTTCATAGATCAAGGTAAATTTGTATTTTCGTGGAGATTGATTTCGTGGTTTTGCCAAAGTTTGCATAAAGCCTATAAACAATTTTGAAATTCGTCGAATATTCGAATTTGTGTTTCATCTGTACACACAAAATCCGAGAAAATTGGTATTTAACGAAAATCAATGAATCCACAGTAACATAAGAGAAGAAAACTTATTGAATGATTTGTTGAAAGGGCACGTGCAATGTTGAATTTAATATATAAATGAAATGTGTAGTTGCAATTTCCTTACAGTATCATGAGTATATCAATATGATATAATCTTGGAGCAGCAATCATAATTTATGTTAGATATGAGTTATGTTTGTAAAATAAATGACTTTATACATATTTATTTTGTGCATATGTCAGTATGTGTTTGTGGAGCATATTACTTAATGGTGGATACAAACAAATGCAGTGACTTTACCCTTTTTAATTATGATAAGCTGCTGGTTAGAAGTACAATTTACTGTTGTTTATAAGTAACTTATTTTGCATCACTAAAAGTTATCGTCTTTTGTTAAACATGCAAATTTAACCCGGAAATAAAGCCTTAAGTATCAATATATGTGGATTTAGTTTGTTTAGATATTTACATATATTTTGCATTTATATACACATGATATATTTATCAAAACATCATCAAGTCAAAATCATCAGCAGTACTTGCATGTTATCTTAGTTTCAAAATCATATTTTTTTGCACGCAAAGTTTCTATATTTTATCTGGATCCATCGGTATATGTAAATTGTCAAACATTAAAACTTGACCAACTGCGAAAACCATATTTTTTACAAACAAATGATACACAAGTTTGTAACCGTTTAAAGAACAGTGACATTAAAACGAAATATCAGAAAATGCATCACTCAAAACTAATGATAAATCAGCACGCACGTTTAAAGACAATATTAGATGAATTAAGATGTAGTGGAAGGGTAAACCGGTCCGACTACGCTACTGGCCTTCGTTGTGTTGTTTATGGCAAGTAAATAAACTCATCATAGATACCAGGATTAAAATTTTGTTCTCCAGACGCGCGTTTCGTCAATAAAAGACTTATCAGTGACGCTCTAATCAAGGCCAAATAAATTCGAAGTTGAAAAACATTGTGGAATAAGAATAAGTTGCATGTGGGAATGTTATACAAAACGAAAGCCCTGGAATATCGTATCAACCACAATATATAATACTCCTTATGCAGGCACTAGTTGGATTTTGCTAAAGAGGAATGGAAAGTCCACAATGAAATCATTAAAGTCGTCTCTTCTGTGGTAAAACATTGTTCTTAAACTACCTTCATTGTCAAGTTAGGGGTAGACTTAACTGTAAACGTATAATATGTGGTATTTCTAACTTATAGTTCATTGGGATAAATGCAATTAACTAATTGAATAATCACCAAACTTTAAAATATTTATTGAAATCATAAATTCAAAGACTTTCTATACGAAACCAAATCCTTTACCCTGCTTAAATAAAACTCCATTGTTCCAATTCTTGTTCCTGGGCTAAACCGAACCTTCAAATTTAGTATTTACTGTTTCTCCGCCAGACACGTAGTATTTAAAGGTAAGAGCAAAGACTGGTCGGCTCGTCGGAATATTGCATCTGGATGGATGACATGTCTTCCTGTGGACTGTTGCCTTGTACATTAATATCAATCATAAAAAATGTTTAATATTTATGAATCAATTGTTCTCAACCAGAATATGCAAGAAATATTTGCCTATGCACATTGAACAAATATAAAAAAATCAATCCTTCAGTCCTAAATGATTCTTTCTGCAGATAAATCTCATTAACAATTTCATATGATGTAAAAACATGTTACATCCCATTAGAATACATCAGTGAAACCTTTTAAAATTTGTATATTCTTTAAAAAATTACTTACACCAAACTGAGTCACTATATCATAGTCACAGCCTCAAACCAAGATTGCCCTTACAATTATGTATAAAAGGACACCTTTCTTTTGAAAAATATTTGTTTAAATATTTGCCTATATTTCCTTATTTTCAACCGTTTAATTATCCAGTAGCTTTTCCACCATAATTAAACCATCGATAACATGTATGTTAAATTTTACCCAAAACAGAACAAAAAGTCTAAATATAAGTCTACGCGTATTAGATCAATTGTACATATGTCAAATGTACCGGAAATACAATGACAATATACCTAAATATCGTGACTAATACACTGATAAGTGTAACAGGAAAATAAACACATTCAGTTTCACATAAATAGGTTATGCCTTATTAAAATATGAATACATATATCAGATGTGAAAATGAATTGTAGGAAATTGAAAACGGAAAAAAACACTGTTTTTCATTATCAAATACCTTTTACCATGTGTGTCGCTAATAAAAGTTTGAAGTAAGTATAATTAATTATGTTATAATTGTATGGACTGGTAGCAATTCATTCACATCTACCATGACCATTTAGAAATTTTTCTAGGTCATACAAGAATAAATTCAGAAATATTTTTATAATATAACATCACTTGGTATCTCATGTACGATGAATTTGTGTGTACGATTATATAGAAATAAAATGCTATTTAATTAAAAGCAAAGCAAAAATAACTTTATCAATATGAATGTGTTGACATGAATCGATATTGCTATATTTATAAATAAACAGAACTGTTTACAAAACTTTGAATTGTTCGAAGGCTTAAGGTGGTACCCAACACCTTGACTAATATTAATTTGGCTCGTTTAATTTTCATAAAATTTTGACAAAATGTTTACTTTGACCCTTTGACAAAAATATAAAAAATTCAAAAAATTTGAACCAACCACTTTATCAGAAAAATTTCATTGATTTTATAACAGTTTGACAAACACTAATTTTGATCATTGAGAAGCTTAATATTTCCTTAACAATACAACGTAATTAAAACGTTTAGCTGATTTTTACAGAGTTATCTCCCTGTAGTGTTAGGTACCACCTTAAGGATTCTCTTCCCAAGAAATGCATTACCTTAACTGTATTTGAAAAAACCTTTCGGAATGTTTGGCTCTTCCACTTCGTCCTTTTTTTTTGCCTTTTAAGATTTGCTGGACTATCTATAATGTTTGGTAACTCCTGTTATTCGTTTTAGCTCTCCTGGCCTACAAGGCCATGTGCGTATTTGCCATTAATTGACGTTCGTCGTCGTCGTCCGACCGGCCGTCGTCGTAACCTTAAGACATACTGTTTGGTTGACATTACCTGGCCACATGTCAACAAACGTTACCTGACTGTTGTATATGGAATCTAAATCAAAATTTATCTGGGGATTTAATCCATCAATAGCAAATATGGTGAACGTGCAGTTTCGGCTGTTATCTCTATAAGTAAAGTAGTTAAAGCAAAAATAGGTCAAATAAAATGTTTTCCACTGAGGGATATGTTCGGTATATGGACGGAATTGTGAAATTTGAATTTCAATTAAAAAGATTGATAATTATACCCTTTTTATTGCTTTGTTATATAACATACAAATAATGTGAGATATAAAATCAAATTGATATTCAACCACTCGTCGTTGTGTATTGACGCTACTTTTTCGATTGAATAGGTCGCTCGTCTGCATATCTCATACCAGAAATGAATAGATGCACAAGTAAACTATAAATTAAAAAAAAATAGTAATGACAACGTGTTATCTCAATAAATGACCTGTGACAAACAGGAGTTTCTGATTAAACAACACGCGGATAACTAACAGGACATTGCTGAATATGTCATGTATCAATATACTGTAATTATCCACTTATATCCTATAAGATTTATGGTTGTTATTTATTGACACGCACATAAAAGGTTATGTTTTCATTTACAACAATGATATAAGCATTTTTCTTAAAAGATATATATTTATGTATGTCCCTTTCAGTAAACAAATTGTAATGTAAGTCATTGAAATGAATGGAAAATTATTACCTGTCATCAAAGTAAAGGTGGTTGTTGTTGGAGATGCAGGGGTAGGAAAAACGTCACTGGCTGTCAGATTTACCGACAATTCATTCATTCAACATTACAAGCAGACAGTCGGAGGTGAGTAGGAGAAAGGGGTATGGGCTGTCAAATGTAAACATTAGAATGACATTTACGGTATAAATTTTACTGGACCAGACGCATTTGAAGATGGGAAATAATTGCTAATTCTCTCTCTATTATCATTATTATTATTATTATTATTGTTATTATTATTAGTATTATTAGTATTAGTATTATCATTATTATTATTATTATTATTATTATTATTATTATTATTATAAACAAACACGCTTGGCTGAAACGCATTAACAGCAATATCATTAACTATATTTTTATATGTTTAAGTTTTTGTGTGAGTGAACTCTTATGACATTATTGTTGTTGTCATTACTAATACGAATAACGTCTACGGAAATTTATAGTTGGAAAGTACATGAAGTACAACAAACTTCACAATTAAAATTTAAAAAGAAGAATATTATAATATAAGGAAATATTCCTCTAGTTCCTAGAAAATTTCCTGATTTCTTTATCTATTTACTGAACAACAATGCCAATTATATAAGAAGATTGCCAATGAGATAACTAACCACCAAAGTTCAAATTAAGTGGATATAAGCAGTTGTAGACAACCGTACGGCCTTAACCACTGAGAAAAACCCTTACCGTATAGTCGGCTATAAAATGCTCCGACATGAAAAATATGAAACAATTAAATTGAGAAAACTAACAGCATAGTTTATAACAAAACAAAATACGAAAAACAAATATGACAGACACGAACCATCGACAACCACTAAATTTTATTTTGGGATTTAAGTCTTTAATAATATGATGCCACCTATTGTATCTATCGGACCACTCACAAAAAAGGTACAGAATACAATTTTTAAGATATTTTTTAAAAGGCAGGCGAAAGATACCAAAAGGACATTCAAACTCGTAGGTCGTAAACGAACTGATCACCCCATGGAAAAACGACCAAAAGATAATCAGCAGGATGCAAAAATAAACAAAAAATTAAAAGTATTATTGAAATACGATCATTGGTTCATTTAGACAGGCAGATATAAAATGTAACGGGGTTAAACATAATGGTGAAAAGTTAAATAACAGAAATACCGAACTCCAAGGAAAATTCAAAACGGTGAGGCCTTTATCAAATGGCAAAATGAAAAGCTCAAACACATCAAACAAATGAAAAACAATTGTCATATTCCTGACTTGGTACAGGCATTTCTTTATGTAGACAGCACAACAAAAGAACATACATTAGGTATTCTCGCGACGACAGACAAACACACCAAACGTCTTGGAACATAATAGCCAAAAAGTTCTAAAAGATCCACCAAAGAAGCCCGTCTAATTTCAGCTTTGCCTAAGGAGTTGTAACCATTATGCTGATACAATTACCAAGTTTATGAGCTTGAAATAATAAGAAAGTAGTATCAGTTTAGTTGAGTCAATATCGAAGCACTGCCTACTGGACAAATGACACCCTGCAGGAACCGACCCAGTTATAATAAATTCAATTCGCTAGACGCTTTCGACTGACCAAAATTTTATCTAATACGCTCGATGTCAAATTTGGGAAAACTAAAACATATACATGTATTAAAATAAAACCAACTTACAAACTGAAGAACATACACTAAGATTAATGAAGTCACCAAGGATGATAAAAAAAAACCCAATTAGCTCTTATATTGATGCAAGAAATAGCCTTGACCTTGTTATTAGGTTAATGCTATTTGGTTTATCAGTGAAAACCGACAAATAACTTTAGAGATGGGTAATTTTTTCTTTGAAATTTAGATAGCCTCTCTTTCCTGCTTTGTTTGTCTTTGCAATTCCATCCCATGTCTTTCATGTGGTGATGTAAAGAATGGAACACGAACTTGTGTTAAATCACACTTCAGTATTGCATATTTTGATGATCTCTTGCTCATTATCAGATCAAAACAGCTAGATTAGCATGTATTTGTGCTTGTGTAGAAAAGTAAGCACTTCTTTTTTTTAACTTAAAGTTTTGGTCTTTTTAATTTAGCAAGTTTTTGCAGTCGTGCTTTAGACTTTAAAGACAAAACTGTTGTGTTTAACATTTGGGATACTGCTGGACAGGAGAGATTCCGAAGTTTAGTTCCTATGTACCTTCGAGACGCAGGAATCGCATTGGTTGTATATGATATTAGTAGTCATGTAAGTACACTTTAATCATAAGAAAATATCTTTTCTTGATATATATAACATTACCAACTTTGCCTGGAACGAATGTGGCTTTGATGTCGTCAAAAATTGATTTAGTTTGTGATCATGTTTTACAGTTGAAACATGTTTCTGTGTTAACAGTTTATCATATACCAGAGCGTAAGCCATCAATTGTAGTTCGCATGATTCGTATCTATAGAAATATCACAATCTTCAAAACATGACAGATTCCGTGTCTCTACATCAAACGTTAGATTATCAGATCTGCCAAGGTATGCCTGAAGGAAATAACATTTTCAAGGATGCCCATACCTAAGGCTGAAAATACAAATACACAAAGAACGTAATGACAACCACAAGCTTTAACAGAAACGCCCAAGTTATCTTACACAAAATATGCGTTATGCACTTTTCGTTCGAGCTAGACATTTATCTGCGCAAACGTTACCTTCAAAAACCGATATCAAGTGTCTTGAAACGGTTACCAAATTACGTTTTACACGTAGCATCCATCGTTTTTTCAAGACTTAAAAAAAGTATGAACAAATGACAAGGCTATTTTTCAATTTTTTTATTGTAATTTGTTAGAATTAACGATATATCACAATATCACTCTCTTCAGAAATCCTTTGAGAATGTAGAGAGTTGGCTGTTACAGCTACAACAGTACGGACCTAGGGACTTGAAATGTGCATTGATTGGAAACAAAGTTGACCTAGACGACCTGAGGGAGGTTCCAACTCAGGTTAGATAAGACGTCACTAATTTTGTTACACTTTAGGTTATTTTGCCTCTCCTGTTTAGTTGACCATAAGATGCATCAGTTGTTTGTCGATGTTCAAATCTCATAAAGTCATTTAGATGGATTGATTGATTGTTGGAGTTTAATGCCAATTTCAGCATTTTTTGCAATATTGTGGCGGCAAGTTTTTTATTGGTGGCGGAAGACGGAGTGTCCGTATTGAACTATCGACCTTTGTAGGAAAACTGACTTTCTTGTCAAATAAAATCGGAGATCGGACTACAAAATCGGAAAATTTGTAATGCAAGTTTTCAAACTCATGCAGTCTTTCAACACGAAGTAGGTTAAATAAGGAACCTCTACAAGCAAGGGTAGAAATCAGAATTTTTATATATTTATATACTTATATTTTACGCATCTTTACTGTTTATGGAAAATGCTATGCACTTTTTTCATTGACACACATTCACTAACTGCATGTTTGAATTAGAAAACCTTTGTAAAGAAGATCCAAAAATGCATCGGACGCACCAAATTTGTAATGTGATTTTTTTGTTTTCTAACGCTGGGTTGATACTGCAGCTGACGGACTGTAGGTATGTAGCTCAGTATTCAGGGCATCAGAAGTGACGTGAATTGTAGTTTACCTTTCTTAAATTATCTTTTGATTATATATAGAAATTATGAAGAAACTACTAAGGTTCCAAATCTTAAAGGCAAATATATAAAAAAGAAGATGTGGTATGATTGCCAATGAGACAACTCTCCACAAGAGACCAAATGACACAGAAATTAACAATTATAGGTCACCGTACGGCCTTCAACAATGAAAAAATGCCATACCGCACAGTCAGCTATAAAAGGCCCCGAAATGACGTACAGGGTAAAACAATTCAAACGAGAAAACTAACGGCCTAATTTATGTACAAAAAATGAACGAAAAACATATATGTAACACATAAACAAACGACAACCACTGAATTACAGGCTCCTGACTTGGGACAGACACATACATACAGAATGTAAAGTTTACTTTACAAAGTTTACTTTACACGAATTTGGCTATTATCATACATCCTTGGCTTTCAATTTATTGGTAGTTTTGGTGATCCTGATGAAGGTTGATATAAAAATACACTTAGGATACTCCAAATTGATAAAGTTTTATTTTCATTTTGCACCCAAAAGTCCATATCTTATTGTATTACACATACCTAATTTTATGGTTGTTTTTTTGCTTGGTATGGAGTATTTCTAAGAGAAATGTTTGCTTTAAATCAGTGTACCCTTATCGGGAACATAGTCTTGTGCACAAACAACAGTATCCAACGTAGTTTACTAGGTTCCGGTACCACTGCTGTTTTGCTATCGATACAGCTATGGTTTCGGTTTCTATCATGATAATATTTAAATAGTTTATTGATTGTAAATTTTTAGTTTTAATACATGACTATTATATATCAAACCAGTGTTGCATGCATATTTGTATATTTTAACTGAGACTATTTCGACTGTTCAATTGACATATCCGAAACATTCTGTCAAGATTGTAACTAGACGAAGCAGATAATTATGTTCGAAACGTTTGTATTAGGCACATATTGTTTTAGCTCAACTGACCCAAAAGGGCCAAGTGAGCTTTTCTCATCACTTTGCGTCCGTCCTCCGTCGTCAGTTAACTTAAACAAAAAATCTACTTCTCTGAAACTACTGGACCAAATTTAAGCAAACTTGGCCACAATAATCATTGGGGTTTCTAGTTTAAAAAATTTGCCAACCAAGATGACCGACATGGCTAAAAATATAGGGGTAAAATGCAAGTTTTGTTTATTATTTTAAAAACCCTTTTAAATAGAGAAAATCTGACAAGAGCAGAAATGTTCAAAATGTTGAGCTCTACCAATTGTCGATTTATGTCAAAACTGTCAGGGGACCTCTTATAGGAGTAATTTCCTTTAAATGACATTTTTTTTTCATTTTTGCCTATTATCATGAAAACTATAATAGATACAGAGAAAATTTAAAATGCAAATATTAGCAAGACAAGATCTACAAATAAATTTGCATGGTCGAAATCATCCGTCGACTCCTTATTAGAGTTATTGCCCTTTAATAATGATTTTTCCATTTTTTTGCGTTTTTGCCTTATATCTTGAAAATTATAATAGATAGATAGAAACTAAAATAAGCAAAAATTTTCAACAAGACGATCTTCAATTAAGACCAATGGAGGAAATCTTCCGACCACTCCTTATTAAAGTTATTTTCCTTTAATGACGAAATACCATCTTTTTTTTTGCGTTTTGCCTTATATGATAAAAATTATTATAGATAAATAGAAACTTTAAATTACAAAAATGATCAGCAAGGCCAGATTTACAAACATGTAAAATTTTGCCTATAAAGTTAGTAGACTTTCACTTTTGATAGGAGTGATTGACCTTAAATGAGGATTTATTTACCCTCTATTGTGTTTTGAACTAAAACTAAAGAAGATAGAGCGAAACTAAACAGACAAAAGGATCAGCAAAACAAGATAAACAAAAAAGAGATTTGTGTCATGAATTCTATTCTCTTCTACAATGTTGGAGAGTGCCCTTTGTTGAATATCCACTTATACCTAGGTGAGCGATACATGCTTTTTAGAGCACTAGTTACATTTTGTAAGTTTTCAAGTTCCGTCCTTTTTTTATTTCTCTGGTTTAATTGGACACAAAAGACATCATGCTTTCATATGTACCACGACATGTAAACACCAATTCTTCTAAGTTATATTCAAAGCGGAGATTGATTTCCGTTATCAGGAAAAAATCTTCAGGTGAACTCGAGACCAAACGTTTGGAAAGCCAAAAGTATCAAAGATTTGAGTGCATACAAATATGAATGTGGTAATACAATAGAAACAAACTCTAAACTTTGATATCAGTTAAACATGGCTTGACTCATCAGATTGGCACGAGGTTCAAAACACAATTAGCATAAAGACAATAGACATTAGATACCTATCTTAGAGTACTAGTATACACTAAACGTCAGTTCAAAGCCAATAAAGAAATCAGGTTCTCCTATAATTACCCTTATCATTAACATTTGTAGAATGTTCTGAACTAAAATGACCATTTTTCCATCTTAAAGGAAGGAAAACTACTTGCAGAGGGCCATGGCTTGTATTTTGAAGAGACATCTGCTAAATCAGGGGAAGGAATAAACAAAGTGTTTAATGATATTGGTTTGTATTTTTGATATAGATTGGCTTATCATATAACCCATAAATAGCAAAAATCATACATTCGCTGCAAAACGTGAAATTACAATTATACAGTAAGAATAGTAGCGAATTAGTTTAAACTAGTGTAGTACAGACATCCTCGTATAATGGAGAAAACGCTCACAATACCATGGTCAAAGAAAATGTTGTTTTGTTTAACTAAACACTAACTACGCAATGAAATTGTAAAGGGTTTATTTTTTGTCGGATCTTTTTCAAATTTGATTTTTTGCTTCTCAAGAAGCACATAAGAGTTCAATAATCACAACAATTCAAATGGAATCCATTTTTGTTAAATGAGAGACGTGTAAAATTATCCAATATCAACGCGAAAGTATCTTTATTTTTTATCAGATCCTATTCAAATTTGAATGACATAAACAATGGATGAACCGTAAACAGTTGTTTCGTGTTTTAGAAAAATCTCTAATTTTGAAACATTTTATTTTGTTTTGTTGCTGTAAAACATCCCATATTGATTCTTGTCGCTGGTTAAGTGACCTTATTTCTACCAGATCATCTTCAAATGTATTTGAAGGTTTCAACTCACAAAACCCAGGAATGAGTTTGATAATGGGGAAAATCTAAAAGGTGATCCATTAATTTCTAGGGGTATACATGGTCATATTAAAATTTTCTATTATCGTTCCATCTGTCAATCTAAAGTCACAATGCTAGCGCCTTTATTTTTTGTCGGATCCTATTGAAATTAGAATTAAGATTTCCAATTATCAAAACCATGAATGAGTTTATTAGAAGATTATGAAAATCTAAAATTTTGCAGGATTTTATACAAAAAGTAAAATCACAAAAATACTAAACTCCGACGAAAATTCAAAACGGAAAGTCCCTAATCAAACGGCAAAATCAAAGGCTCAAACACATCAAACGAATGGATAACAACTGTCATATTCCTGACTTGGTACATGCATTTTCGTATGTAGAAAATGGTGGAGTAAACCTGGTTTTATAGCTAGCTAAACATCTCACTTGTATGACAGTCGCAAAAAATTCCATTATATTGACAACGATGTGTGAACAAAACAAACAGACATAATAGGTAAAAATGTCAAAATAGGGGTACAACAGTCAACAATGTGTTATGGTCTTCATCACTAAAAAAAAACAAATATGTAACAAAGAAACACAAAAAGGCATATAGACAAAGCACACAAACAAAAAATGAAAGACTACAATACAAAAATTTACAAAAGCACATTAACACAATGACGGGATGTATAAGTACCAAGCCACGTCAAATGGATATCACCAAAAAAGACTAAACAGTAAAAGTAATATTCAAAAAGACAAATTAAAGAATACTGTAACAGGTTATTAAGATGATAAAAAACGTCAGTACCAGAGTCTATACTTCAAGACCATCGTGTATTATTTGTGAAGTTGATACGGAATATTTATTAACAAGTTCTTGGTACCTTCCGATGAACTTTTATAGAAAAAGGACGAGACGTTCTTTGACATACCCCTGGTTCATCAACTTTCTGCTAAGACACTGGTGACTTATCAGATGTTCTTTATAAATTTTTGTCGCATGAAAAGCTTCTTCATTTCTATTTAGATCTTTCTTAGCTTTGAAACGTGTTTTCCACTAATTAAAACCGTTGATGAGTTCAGTTAAGAAACAAAATCAAATAGGAAAACATGTTGTTTTGGCAAAAATATCCAGAATTACGCATTTGAAGGGTACGCGGGCATGTAAGCTTGCTCCCTCAATGTACGTTCTTTATTAAAATTTTTACTCTGATGTTGGTGTAATGAAAGCACTGTATTTATTTTCGAAATTATATATGTATCTATATACACAAAAAAGCAATCCAGATTGTAAAAAAGGATTATGGTAGAAAGCGAAAAATGTTAGATGTCTAAGTTTTCTGCATGTACGATAATTATAACATATATTTATTTTTAATTAGGTAGTGCATTAGCCGAAGGATGTAAGAAAGAGAAACGATCATCTACTGTGTCTATATGTGATTCATACGTCCATCGGAAGAAGAAGACATGCTGCTAATATAAACTCGTTTGACATGTTACTTATAATCTCTATCATAAGGTTGTTTGTTTTATGAAGATGGAAGTACTGGCTGCCTAATGCTGTATGACGATAGCATTTATATTGTTAAAAGTTGTATAGTCTACTGCATATAAATATAGAAATAAGATGATGTGGTATGATTGCTGATGAAACAACTATCCACCACAGTTCAAATGAAGTGGATTTAAGCAATTATAGGCAACCATTATTCGGCCTTCAATAATGAGAAAAACCCATACCTTATAGTCGGCTATAAAAGGCCCCGACATGACAAATATGAAGCAATTCAAATGAGAAAACTAACTGTATGCATAGATAGATAAAATTTTCAACAGATGTTTTAGCTATATGCAAAGTTTGTAAAATCATAAAATGTCGGGTTTCAAGCTCTGTTGATAATTTAGTTTTTTTCCTTGTGTAACGTACAGTGATTAGAAATGTTTGCCTCATGTTATTACTCAGAACTGTGCTGTTGAATCTTTGAAGATGTCAACCATATTCACCTCCCATATCTGTTTTGGCGATCAATCTAGTATGGTTCATCGAATAAGATGAGGCATGGCAAATTAGCAAACTACTAATTGGTTTGCAAGGTTAACATATCAAACATGGGCATGTTCACATCACACGGACTTCATTAACGGGGATGTCACAACGCAAAACCTGCTCCAGCATGATAATGAGAAAAAAAAAGACTGAATGAATAATGTTTTTCGGTAACCGATGGTTGACAGATATGATGATTCTGTATCAATGTCAGAGGGTATAATGGATGGAATCGTTAAGTGTAAAACACATACTTTTTCTCTACTATCTTAACATCAAATGAACATGGACAATTATTTCATTCGTCGGATCGTATTTGTTAGCTAACAGTTGCGTCAAAAACAGTAAAATATTTATGGTGAACGATAATTTAAGCGAATGGTACCGTTAGTATCATCAGCTTAGTAGTCACTACGTATACTTCGGTTCTGACATGATTTATAAAAAAACTATCTAAAATTGGCCGTTTATAAATTTTGAAATTTACAGGAACGAAGGTTTCAACTCCCTCAGGCAAAGTTGGCCTCAGATGGATTTGGCTATTTTTTTAAGTTCCTATTTGGTTCAAAGCTCAACAACGTTTTCGGTCCCTATACATCCTTGGCTTTCAAATATTCGGCTTTGAACGTTCCTGGTGAAGGTAAATCCAGAAAAGCGCTTCGGACGCATGAAATTTATAACGTGTTGTTTTCTTTTTTTTTAAAGCGAATGGTATCGTTAGTCGTCATATGAATTGTCCCATTCCCTCTTTCAGTCAGGGTCAGTGATCTGTTAATCATCCATTTGGAATATTGTAGCTGCAGTGAGGTGATGGCAATATGACATAAAATGCTATCTCCGTAATAAGGGTATAACTTGTTTCCAAGTTTCTCTCAAACTGTGCAGGGGGTAACATATTCCTTAATGTTACAATCAAATGGTCCTAACTAACGAAATGATAAGTCCGTCTCATTTGTAAAATAAAATTTATAAACTTATAGTTCCTTTTATTTTTCTCTAAACACATATCAATTTGAACGGGCTAACCTTTTACTACATATCATCATAGCTCTCGCAGCGATCACAACGATTAATGTATAAAGTTGTTTGGAGAAATTAAAATGAGGAAAACGTACATAAAAATGAAGATATTGTCAATTTTCAATTTAATGGCATGACAAGGTGCGACTAACATGTATATGGAAGTTATCACCCTAAATAGTTAACTCTGCTCAAATAAATTATTTGGTCGGCTTCATGAGTTAATACAATAGGAAACTAACTCATAGGAAACAGAAGACTCTTGATCATGTTGATGCAGATGACATTAAGATTTGTTATATACTGACTACTTTTTTTGCAATTTCTACAAATAACATACTTTATTACAAATCATGGACCCACATGTGGCTTAGGATCATACATGGAGGAAGACGCAATATTGATCAGCATAGATACATGATGTAATATGAATTCATAACGTACTTACAAAACCTGCAAATACCTACTCCCTTGTTTCTTGCTATATTTGTAAAGGGCCAGGTCTAATGTTTAGGTTAGATCCAGATATATAGCATTCTGCTGAAATCAAAGTTCTTTCACAACTAAAGATCATTTGCATAACCAAAATGTTGATTCAACCGTAGATGATTAGTTTCCCTTCACAAGAAGTAGTTGAGCAATTTTTCCAATTATTACCTTGTTGTGTTCACAACACAAAACTGTCTACTGATCAATGAATCTCAGCCCCCTGTGGGGTAATAGTTGAATTCAAATTGAGGATTTCTACAGTTGAATATAAGTTTAAGAACTCGAGGGGATCAAGTCTTCTTTCCAGTTCGACAGATACGTTATTTAAGTTAAGACGTGTAAGGTTCGTATAACCTATAGACAATTATGCCGTGTTCAGAAAACTTATTTGACACGGAATATTGACAAAATCCAGAGAGTGAAAATTCTTTGCAGTTCAAAAAAGGAATAAAATAAAACAGGTCTGCTGTGCAATGATCAAATCCTTCCTGATTTTGTTTGTACACATTCTAAAAAAGTTGTTGAAGGTGTCAAACTATACTAAATTGGGTAACTTTTTTCATATATATTCGACTTCCATCAAAACTGTGCATTACATTGCATTGGTAGATATGGAAAATAGCTATTTACACAAATGTGTACATGTATATTCATATATTCATCATATTGTTTTGCACACATTCTTGCACACATGTATTTCAATTCCTAAGCATGAAAATTACAACATCTGTAAATAATTAACTAATAAATATGAATTTCTTTTATTTCTAATTAATCTGACTCTAAGCATGATGAGTGTTTAAAATATCTTGATAATAATTAATTTTTTGTTCCGGTAATAAGATTATAGTTTTCGAATTATGTTAGTCCAATTAACAAACATTACCCCATCGCTTAAAATATTGAATATAGGGGTAAAATGAAAATAGTTGCCACATATGTTGAAAGTTGTAATACAATGTAGATTGAGAAAATATGAAATATTTGCAAAAATGAGTCAGAAAATACCAAGGGACATTCAAAACTCACAAGTCGAAGAAAACCTCCATGGCAAAAAACGAAAAGCCACACAAAGACGAACATGGCTACACACAACTATAGAAAAAACTAAAGATAGCAACACGAACATGATATGAACTGATATGCTTACCCTTCCAGAGCACATGAGGTCGACCCGCTTTATGGTGAGGTTCGTGTTGATCAGTCTTCAGTTTTCTATGTTGTGTTTTGTATACTGTTTTTTGTCTTTTGTTCGTGTTTAGTTTTTTTTTTGCCATGGCAATATCAGTGCGTTTTCGACTTATGTGTTTGATTATCCCTTTAGTTTCTGTCGCCTCCCTTTCGCTACATCCCCAATGGAGACTTGGTATTCTGTTAAAGTTTTGCTACATCCTTTCTTATGGGCTATCTATTGTCTAATACAAGGATTTAGACATAATAGCGGTTTGGAATTATTTTATATCCGAGTAAATATATCTTGATTGAGGAAGGAAGCTTTCAAATAATCAAGGAAATGCATTCACTTTTAAATCATAATCATTAAACCAGATATCTTTGCTTCTTGACAGAGTATGTTTTGTTTTGTTCACCATAACTTATGTTATTTTTAAGTGTTTCTGATTAAAGAGGGATGAATTTCCAATGAATCAACCAATCGTAAATTCCAATTAATATAAAATAGA